ACTGGGCATGATATAAGCCAAAGGTGAGCAACTCTGGCCCTCCTGCTGTGCCTTAACTACAAATCCTAATATGCCTCTGACTTTAGGTCTCACGCCTGTAACTGACAGAGTCTTGCAATGCCTCATGGGACTTGTAGTTCCACAGCTGGAGGGCTGGAGTTGCCCAGCCTGACATAGGGTATGACCACCAGATGAGGGTATGATTGAGGCAAATCACCATTTTATATCTTCCATTGCTTTGCGGTTTTGCTGGCCAGCTTCAGTGTGTCTAGTCAATCTTATAGCAATGGCTGTCAATAAGTGATGCTGACTGCACTGCCTGATATACGGCTGGATAGAAGGAAAAATGATTTATTAGGTAATTGTTACAAATTGGACTTCTTGGAAATACTTCTGAACACTCGCACCTCTTACACGCTCACCATGTTTTCTTTTCTCTCCGCAGCTCTCTCATCGTAACCATCATCACCATCACGGTAAATCATCTTCCTGTATAACCCTATAGAGGGATTTCATGTGAACCATTAAAGTGATTTGGACTTTCACCCCATTTGGCCTGGCGCTCCTTTGGTTATGTACTATTGCTTTAAGTAACCTCTTGAGTGCCCATTAGAACAGGGGGTTGGGCAACTCCTGCCCTCCAGCTGTGCTTTAACTACAAATCCGAACATGCCTCTCCCTCCGGGAGTCATGCCTGTAACTGTCAGTCTTGCAATGCCTCATGGGAGTTGTAGTTCCACAACAGCTGGAGAGCCGGAGCTGCCCACCCCTTGTTTAGCAGGTAGTCCTCTTTCACACGAGCTGCCTTATCCGAGCCGGTGAGCTCTTTGAATGATGATGTGTCCGGGAGGCTTTGTTTATTAGCAGTGCTGGAGTGGTGGTCACATGACCGTGTTTATAAACTAAGAGCTAGTGTTAGGCTCAAAGTAGTGATACATTTTCCATCTTTTTTCATTATTGAATCCAAATCAAATATAAACTGCCTGCAAATTATTTCTTTACACATTTGCCCAATCACAAGAATTATGTTTCCCAACAGCTCCAACTCTCTCAGCTCGGCCTCCCTAAGCTTCCTGTCCAATACAGAGAAAGGGCTGCATTAGGGTTAGAGCTATTTGTAACTACATACAGAAAAGTGGGGGTTTTTTGAGAGGTATAACACCAAAACTTGATTTAATCAATATATAAAAGAATTTTTATTGTACTGTATTTGAGCACAAATCACCCAGGTTCTCAAATCCTAGGCGTTGTTTACTATTCTATTCCATCGTTTTACCATACATTTATGTCAAATCAAGTCATTTAATCATCGATAGGTATATAAGTGCATACATCAAAAGTACATAATGTTGAAAACATCTCGCTGTAATCAATTACTTGTACATACATAGATCCAGTTAGGTATATTCAATCGATTGCATTAATTTTAAAATCATCCAGGTTATCAGACATGATTGATCGTCGGTATATACATCGGTCACTTTGAACATATTGTCATAACTAGATTTCTTCATTGTCTATCGCCCATACCACCATCTCACATGGTTAGTGATCTCATACCGGTATCTCAAAAAAACCCCACTTTTCTGTATGTAGTTACAAATGGTTATAACCTAATGGCTGAGAGGTTACACCTGGAGACCACTGAGGCAACAATTCACTATTGTATTTATAATAGGGTTAGAGCTAGAATTAGTGTTATTGTTAGGGCTGCATTAGGGTTAGAGTTAGGGATGCATTTATGTGAGATTTAGGGCAGCATTCGTGTAAGAGTTAGGGCTGCATTAGGGTTAAAGTTAAGGCTGCATTAGGGTTAGAGTTAGGGCTGCATTGGTGTTAGAGTTAGGGTTGCATTAGGGTTAGAGTTAGGGCTGCATTAGGGTTAGAGTTAGGGCTGCATTAGGGTTAGAGTTAGGGCTGCATTAGGGTTCGAGTTAGGGTTGCATTAGGGTTAGAGTTAGGGCTAGCATTGGGGTTATAGTTAGGGCTGCATTGGTGTTAGAGTTAGGGCTGCATTAGGGTTAGAGTTAGGGCTGCATTAGGGTTAGAGTTAGGGCTGCATTAGGGTTAGAGTTAGGGCTGCATTAGAGTTAGGGCTCCATTAGGGTTAGAGTTAGGGCTGCATTAGGGTTAGAGTTAGGGCTGCATTGGGGTTAGAGTTAGGGCTGCATTAGGGTTAGAGTTAGAGCTCCATTAGGGCTAGAGTTAGGGCTGCATTAGGGTTGGAGTTAGGGCTGCATTAGGGTTAGAGTTAGGGCTGCATTAGGGTTAGAGTTAGGGCTGCATTAGGGTTAGAGTTAGGGCTGCATTAGGGTTAGAGTTAGGGCTGCATTAGGGTTAGAGTTAGGGCTGCATTAGGGTTAGAGTTAGGGCTGCATTAGGGTTAGAGTTAGGGCTGCATTAGGGTTAGAGTTAGGGCTGCATTAGGGTTAGAGTTAGGGCTGCATTAGGGTTAGAGTTAGGGCTGCATTAGAGTTAGGGCTCCATTAGGGTTAGAGTTAGGGCTGCATTAGGGTTAGAGTTAGGGCTGCATTGGGGTTAGAGTTAGGGCTGCATTAGGATTAGAGTTAGAGCTCCATTAGGGCTAGAGTTAGGGCTGCATTAGGGTTGGAGTTAGGGCTGCATTAGGGTTAGAGTTAGGGCTGCATTAGGGTTAGATTAAGGGCTGCATTAGAGTTAGAGTTAGGGCTGCATTAGAGTTAGAGTTAGGGCTGCATTAAGGTTATAGTTAGGGCTGCATTAGGGTTAGAGTTAGGGCTGCATTAGGGTTAGAGTTAGAGCTGCATTAGGGTTAGAGTTAGGGCTGCATTAGGGTTAGAGTTAGAGCTCCATTAGGGTTAGAGTTAGGGCTCCAGTAGGGTTAGAGTTAGGGCTGCATTAGGGTTAGAGTTAGAGCTCCATTAGGGTTAGAGTTAGGGCTCCAGTAGGGTTAGAGTTAGGGCTGCATTAGGGTTAGAGTTAGAGCTCCATTAGGGTTAGAGTTAGGGCTCCAGTAGGGTTAGAGTTAGGGCTGCATTAGGGTTAGAGTTAGAGCTCCATTAGGGTTAGAGTTAGGGCTCCAGTAGGGTTAGAGTTAGGGCTGCATTAGGGTTAGAGTTAGAGCTCCATTAGGGTTAGAGTTAGGGCTCCAGTAGGGTTAGAGTTAGGGCTGCATTAGGGTTAGAGTTAGAGCTCCATTAGGGTTAGAGTTAGGGCTCCAGTAGGGTTAGAGTTAGGGCTGCATTAGGGTTAGAGTTAGAGCTCCATTAGGGTTAGAGTTAGGGCTCCAGTAGGGTTAGAGTTAGGGCTGCATTAGGGTTAGAGTTAGAGCTCCATTAGGGTTAGAGTTAGGGCTCCAGTAGGGTTAGAGTTAGGGCTGCATTAGGGTTAGAGTTAGAGCTCCATTAGGGTTAGAGTTAGGGCTCCAGTAGGGTTAGAGTTAGGGCTGCATTAGGGTTAGAGTTAGAGCTCCATTAGGGTTAGAGTTAGGGCTCCAGTAGGGTTAGAGTTAGGGCTGCATTAGGGTTAGAGTTAGAGCTCCATTAGGGTTAGAGTTAGGGCTCCAGTAGGGTTAGAGTTAGGGCTGCATTAGGGTTAGAGTTAGAGCTCCATTAGGGTTAGAGTTAGGGCTCCAGTAGGGTTAGAGTTAGGGCTGCATTAGGGTTAGAGTTAGGGCTGCATTCTGGTTAGAGTTAGAGCTCCATTAGGGTTAGAGTTAGGGCTCCAGTAGGGTTAGAGTTAGGGCTGCATTAGGGTTAGAGTTAGGGCTGTATTAGGGTTAGAGTTAGAGCTGCATTAGGGTTAGAGTTATGACTGCATTGGTGTTAAAGTTAGGTCAATCTCTGCACCATCATGTTAGCACATAGTAAGGGGCCACACAAATCGGTAGTGGATAAGTGCAGGGAACTTTGGTAACCATCAAGAGACAATTTAGGCCAATTGTATCCTTAACAACCACCAAAAACCTCTCCAGCTTTGCCCCCCTCACTGACATCTCTGCGTTTCACCGTAAGGCCGTGGTCTGTTTTGTTTTCTTTCCACAAAGATGATAAATAGACACGCTGGATTTCCATTTGCTTTATATCATGGAGAATGTAACAAGAAGAGCTGTAACACACAACGTGGGGGGGGGCACCCAAAACTCCCAGGTAACCCTAGCCGGTAATTATGGCAGGAAGATCTCACCTTTGAAGTATCCCAGAGACTTATGACAGCTCCACTGAGTGCACTGACACCCCCCCCCCCCCCCCCCCCCACCTCCTGGTTACCCCACACACGGCCAC